AAGTGAATAGCAGCGGAAGCAATTGATGAACCTAAAGATTCCAGTTAATAACATATAGGCGATGTACAAAAATCATCACAACGAAAAATCATCACAATGCAAAGCCCTAATCCAAAGAAAATAGGCAATGTACAAAAATCTTAAATTAAATTATAGCTTTCAAACACAAAATTCAAACGATCGAGCTACTGAATGTAGCGTTGCAAAACGATTTAGCGAAATTCATCTTCGATTGAGTTGGAAATTGAGATTAGGAAAATTTGTAAATTACCACCCAACAAATAGACCAATTTTGATATAACCACCCAAAAAATAATTTATTTTAAATTACCACCCATTAAATTAAAAAAACGCTCCGATTACCACCCATTTAGTTTTTCCAGTGAAATTTCGGTTTGTGGACCCCACTCAACGGCTAATAACAACTATTTTTTGGTTTTTAACTCATTGCTTCCCCGATTTTTTTCCCATTAAACACTTCTCCATAGTAAAAAACCATCTTCTTCTTCAAATTTTCCCAAAATTTCACAAAAAACGCTTCCCCTAATTGCAGAAGCATCCACAAGAACTGTAATTGGGGAAAAAATGGGGGATTAGTTAATTAGGGTTCTTGTTGTCCTTGAATTGGGGAAAATTGGGGGAATTAGTTGTGTTATTTCAACAATTAGGGTACCTGTTATAATTGAATTGGGAAAGTGGTGGCGATTTGTGGCTCAATTGCGGGCTGAAGTTGGAACAATGGTGGCGATTTGGTGCGGTGGTGGCGATTTGGTGCGATTGGTGGCAATTTGTTGCGAGTTGGTGTGTGTGGGTTAACATGGGCAGTTTTGCACGGATTTGGTGGAGATTTTGTGGTGCTTGGTGGCTCAATTGCGGGCTGTAGGTGGAACGGTGGTGGCGATTTGGTGCGGTGGTGGCGATTTGGAACGAAGGAGGCAGTGGCAGAACTAAGGGGGGGCTGGCGAACGGAAGGGATGGTTTTTCAGGGGGTTGGGGGGAAGGGGAGGGGTGGTTTTCGGTGTTGCTGGAAAAGGAGATTGGTGATTTGCTAGAAAAGGTGGAGCAATGGTGGTGGTGGTGTTTGGGAAGAAGAAAGAAAGAAGGTAGGAAGAAGAAGAGTGAAAAATCGGGGAAAGAGATGAGAAAGCCAGAAAATAGAAGAAAAAAAAGGAAAAAAATAAAAAAAGTGGGGCCCATTGACGGAAATTCCACTGGAAATTCTAAATGGGTGGTAATCTGCGCGTTTTTTTAATTTAATGGGTGGTAATTTAAAATAAAATATTTTTTGGGTGGTTATATCAAAATTGGTCTATTTGGTGGGTGGTAATTTACAAATTATCCTTGAGATTATGAGAGAAATTTGACCAATAGAAGAGATTCTTGCTTCGTTATCTCAACTTCCTTCACCTTTGCGCCATTCAAACACAAAATTCAAACGATCCGAGCTACTGAATGAATCATTGCAAAACGATTTAGCGAAATTCATCTTCAATTGAGTTGAAAATTGAGATTATGAGAGAAATTTTACCAGTAGAAGAGGTTCTTGCTCCGTTATCTCAGCTTCCTTCACCTTTGCGCCGTTCAAACACAAAATTCAAACAATCGAGCTACTGAATGAAGCGTTGCAAAACGATTTAGCGAAATTGATCTTCAATTGAGTTGATAATTGAGATTATGAGAGAAATTTTACCAGTAGAAGAGATTCTTGCTCCGTTTTCTTAGCTTCCTTCACCTTTGCACGACAATCTAGATGAAATGAGAAGCATAGGAAGAACTCAGAAAATTCTGAAAAACAGCAATGCAGTGAGAATAACAAAGCATTGAAAGAGGAGAGAGAAATTCACCATTTTCGTCGGAGTATTGAGCTTGTAGATAGAGAAACTTGCGCAGTCGAAACAGAATGAGAGGGAAATTTGGAAAATGAGAGCAGGAGTATATGAGTCGTATATCTATTACATACTTGGAAAATGAGATAAAGTAATAAAAGTATATGGAAAAACAAATTTGCACATTTATTGTTGCAAATTGGAGGGAATTTTGGTAAAAATTTAATATTAATGGTACTTGAAAAAAGCAAATGAGATTATTATTTTGGGACTTAAAATTGACTATAAGGGACTATTAATAAGGGACGGGGAGAGTAAGAGAGAGAGAATGGAAAATATCTTTTAGAAAATAAAATTGAGTTGGGAACTGAAGAAAAAGTACGGAGTATTAAAATATTGTTACTATCTTCCAAAATATAGGAATGCTTATTAAAAAAATAGGCCAAAAAATAAATAAAAAATAGAGCACATATTTAGAGATAAAGGAAGTATCTAAACCTTCTAAATTGAAAAATAGGGCCATATTGAAAAATAGGGGAGTATTTAAAAAGAAAGAAATAGTTAATGGGAATCAAACATGGTACTTACTTGAAGAAAGGTATCCACAATTAGGCAATTACCGCTCAGACACAACAATTATACTATATCTATTGCACAACAAAATGTATATATTGTACTCTCTCCGTTCCTTTATTAGATGTCTATTTCTAGCATTTATTACTCACATAATAAAGAGAAGTAGGCATCTAATTAAGGGAAGGAAGGAGTATTAATTTTGGGGTGAACTGCTAAACGTCGCTCCCAATTTACCAAGCGTCGCTCCCATTTTGACATGAAAGGACCATATTGCCCTTTCCATAATTTGGACAATCTAAGGCTCCACCACTTGGTTAAAAAGATTTCCGAGCATTTTAATATTATTCCCGAGCACATTCGATCCACCACTTGGTTAAAAAAATTCCCGAGCCCACCACATCCGACCCCACGACATCCAACCCAAAATTCCCGAGACCACCACCAAAATCCCATTTTCTTTTTAAAATTTTTTATTAAGCTTTAGTAACGGGTTTAGGACGATGGATGACGACAACGATCGTACACCGGAAGCATCGTCAGTCCTCGAATTAATTTTTTTTTTTTTTTGAAATGGATAAGAGGATGGATGGCTATAGGCGGAGGAAATAGGAGATAATTTTGTTTTCTATGAACCTTCATATGCATTCTTTTTCTGGTAATTCTGCAGTATAGAATTGTTAGTTTAATCCTTAGGTAACGAGTTTATTATATACAATCCTTAACATGCTTGGAAAGTTACTAGGACAATCACTTTGAATGGAAACTATTTTATATTGATTTGTTATTGAAAAGTCGATGTACATGGAGTTGGGGGAGAGCCGGTTTTTTACTTGGTGAGCATTTGTGGTTTTTTGCTATTTATGTGTTTTGGTTTGTGATTAGCGCAGACTATCATGGTTCTGGAAGGTTACATGTAGGTTATTTTTGGGTTGTCATTTCTACAAGCAGGTAGTTATTTTTGGGGGGAGGGGGGAGTGCACAAGCAATATTTTTTTATAGTGTAGTTAGTTGATAGTTTGGCCAGTGGTCAAGTTTTACAGCAACTTTGTTGATCATCATGTTAGTATATTAGCTTGACAACTCTCCATATAGAATTGTTCATTCTGTAATGTTGTAACGAGTGTATTTCTTCCAACTCTCCAGATAGAATTGTTCAATCTGAAAAGGGTCAAGCTGTATTTCTTCCAATTCTTTGAAAATTAAGCTTTCAATATGGAGAGTGTGACTTTTACAACATCACAATTTATTCCTGATGGTCAGTACTCTTCTCTTGGTTTAGAAACTAAATTTTCTTCAGAATCTTGTTCTATTACATGATTTTGTTAGTAAATAATATTCAGTAAATCTCTGTTACTCACTGTGAGAAACGTTTTTGTTTCTCACCGTGGCAGTTCTATTAGCATGTTTTATTTGTCAAAATTCATTCAGTTTAGCTGTTTTGGTGATGGTGATGCATCTCATTAGATTGGTTTAGACCTTGACGAGATAATTACAAGTTCATCTCTTTATCTGCTTACAATATTGATTTGACTCTGATTTGAAGTTGACTATTTTTTTTTTTCCAATAGATACATCGTTAGACATGAATTTTTGGTTTGAATATAACATATTTATGGCCCTTTCTAATGCTTAGTTCACTTGGGTAATTGGGTTATTGTTGGTTTAGTTGTAGCAATTATTCTATACTTGCACTCTAAGTTTCACTAATCTTTTTCTTATTCTCATCAAGAGAGAAGGGCTAAGAAAGGGAGAACAGTAAAATTTAAACGGTAAGAAATGACAGTTGGGAGAGGGGTGGGGAGGAGCTGCACATGCTGGAACTATATTACGAGTCATATATGGGACAACTATATTATTTGTGTGTATCTATGAGGCCTGGGAATAGAGGAAGGGACTAGAGTATATTGTAAATAAGGATCAATTTTATTACAAGGAAGAGCATTTTGGAAGGTAATTGATGTACCCATCAGGTTGAGACCGACAAACCTATTGAATCTTCGGAAGGGAGTTACATTCACATGGTAAATGCTGATCTGATTAAATAGTTAAGTTCTTGGGATACTTGTCGTACCTTTAATTTACAAGCACTTGAAATGCAAATGATTTTAGGGTGGAAGGAGAGGGATGCACTTAAGGTATCTGTTCATGTGATTTCATGGGATTGACAAATAGGAATATGCAGGATTCACGCTCACGAATTCTGGCTTGTATAGAGCGGGGTGGTGGTACTGGTGGTTATTCCTTGAGTGATGAAATTAGTTTCAAAGCAAATATTGGATCTTTTTATGTAAGGCTAGAACTTTGAGGATGTACAGGACCAACTGGCATCTCCATATCAGCTATCATATGCTTTGCCCTTGGCTTGATAAATCTTATTTTGGTCTTTTTTTTTATTATTATCTAACTGTGTATGCCTCCACATGCAAGCTTTATATATGGACAAGGGAGATGCTGCTGGAACAAGTGGAATTTTGATTGACCCAGATTAAGAGACAACAAGTACAACAGAATCATTCCAAGTCATGTTGTTCTTGCAATAAGGAACGATGACGAGCACGAAAAAATGTTCAGGATTAACAATTGCACATGGAGGAGTTCTACCAAACATTAACCAAGTTTTATTATGTACCAAAGAAGACAAGAGATTAGGCAACCAAGGATGTGAAGCCTTTTAAATCCATTTAGGATCATCCTTTACTATCCTGCATCGGTATTTAGGACATTTCAAAAACAAACAAACATTAAAGGAGGTCAATCTAGCTTTATAGTATCACCACATCAATGCCTCGTTGAATTTGCTTCGCAAGCAACTTGGCTTGTCTTCTCGCGGAAGCAATGTTATCAATATTTTCTTGGTCATACCATTTGTTTACAAATCCCTTTAATTGTGGACATCGAGTATCACAAATAATCTTCTTAAGCATGGGAGCATTTTGAGTTAGACAGAATGCAAACTCGGCAACAGACGCACTTCCATCGAATCCAATCAACTCTAAAACCTTAAGTTGACGATGTGCACGCATTGTGTAATTAATCTTAGCATCCTTTAGAGCTATTGGCATTACCGCTGCTTCTCCTATCAACGGAACCAACTGCAAACCAATTTAAATGTGTCTAAAGGAAACTACATCGTTCAAACTTTTTACAAAAATTCAATTATAAAACTTAATTGTATAAGAATTTGATTATGTTAAAAATTAAACTGATAATTTTTGGAAACTTTTAGGAAATGAAGGGTGCAAGACTTTGTTCTTTTCACCTTATTGTAAAATTCGATCTTAGGTCTTAGACTTTTAGATAATCCTAGCTAGGAAAAAATTAAACAATCATGTGACCAACAGCCCAATGCTATCACGCCAAATCTAAATAGGAAAGATAGGGTACTTAAAATGGATGAATCTTGCATGTTATATATGTGAATTTGTGAGAACAAATCAAATTTAATCATCAATTTGCATTGTACCATCCATTAAGTTGAAGAGCAAAACGAAGTATAATTTAAATAAAAACTCAAGTAAAATTGAGTCCTGTATCGTACCTCTAACTTAAAGGTGTGCAACAAAGGGCATGCCACAATGAAAGATAAAAGGCTGTCTCTAGGGAGCACCGGTAATCCAGCAGAAGCACGACTTTTCTACATACAAAATTCGAAACCTAGTTTGGTTAAACTAGTAATTTAAAACATAAGTAGTAGTAATTTAGATGCAATGCACAAATAAATGTAAGTGACTAACCCGATTCCAATTGAGAGAGAGTTTCTGGAGTCGATGTGAGAAAGCTGAAATGAGGTGCAAACCATACAAAACACGATAGCAATAATGACCGCCAAAGGTGACATTCACAACCGATGGAACACTAGTATACTCCACCTCAAGCTTCTTTGAAGCGGAGAACAATATAAAAGAAGTAAGTTTGGGAGCAGAAATCTCCAATGACTCAATCTGGTGGCACCAAAAAAGCTCAAAGTGTTTAAGAAAATTATTTTTTACAGGCCTTACTATAACAGTGTAAAACCGGCACGTCCTCACTGTCAGGCTCTCAAGATTGAGACAATTAGCTAAAACGTTCTCGAGCACGCGTCCATCGATACATATGGCTTCTAAGTGAAGAGACTTCAAGAAAAGTTGATGGTTGTTATGACCAGGGTAAATGAAGAGAAAATTCCGTAGAATTGGGTAAATATCAAACCCCTTAGGGAGGCCATAAAAAGTTGACAAGTTGATCTCCAAGTTGGCAACATTTTTGCTTAGGGCCAATTTCACCCATCTATCAATATGGGCATCATGTAAGCCATTGAGTGGATAATGTATTCTGAATGTATTCAGATTTCTGGCACAATTCGCAGTCATAACCCTGTTAACCCAGTTACAATATATCTTAGCTAAACTATCATCAACTATTTTCCTTTGCGAGTAAAATTCCGAGTCTTGCAAATCCAAATCAACTAGGTGAGTCCATACATATCTCCACCTTGTGGAAAGAAGGCTAGTTTTTCATGCACTTTTCAAGTCCATAAGAGATAACAAGTGAACCAGGAAATCATTAGGCAAGCTGCTAATTCGATCCCCTTTGTCTTCATTAGCATTGTTTTTCCTCTGCCGACAAATAAAGTCATGATTAATAATGTTAAAACCTTATTTTTACCAAAAAAAAAATGTACATACGTGTAAATCATATTGCATGGTCAAACAACAAAGATGAATAATATTATTAAAAATAAAAAGAAATGTGACGGTCGAAGACTCACTCTTCTCTTCTGCTTGGGGACCTCTGGTGAAGAAGGGGGTGAGGTTAAATCTATAATTTCGGGAATGACTCGGGGTTGAGCATAGGTTTTAGCCAGAATATCCCACATTTGACGGGTTGTTTTGGCTTGAGAAACAAGAGGGACAAGATTTGAGGATAGGGTGCCGATAAGAGCACCAAAAATCAGCTTATCCTGGCGAAACCATGTTTGATAAGCATTGGCTACGGTCATGGTTGTGGGTGGTGAACCATCGAGATGTTTGTGTAAGTCGTAGCCGATAAGTATTGCCTCAATTTGAGCCTTCCATGGTAGATAATTGGTGGATGTAAGCGTGATCGAGTTCGGAATGGTAACTATCGTCAGAGGCTTTGAAGGATCATTCATATTTGTTACAGTGTCAAATTTGGCTTAGGGTTTTTTTTTTTTTTTTTTTTTTTTTTTTTTTTTTTTTAACCATGTTTTCCGTACATGTATAAATGGGCTTTTCTGGAAATCAGGCCCATTAATTGAATTGGACTACTCCTATGTCTTATTGCCGTGATAACAACAGGTGTTGGCGCGTAGCACTCTGGGTTATGTAATTTACCAATTTGCCTCAATGTTTGGTTGGTCTAATATATATTTACTAACTTGATTGAGATACTTTCTCGTTCCACAAAAATATATTGGAGGATAATAGTTCATATTCATGCCATTGACAAATACAAGTAATTGGTAAAGAATTGGAAATGTCATATGTAATCGCGTGTAAGTGTAATCTGAGTAATGGCAACGTTGAACAATTTATTTGGTATAATATTTATCATCATAAGTAATAATACATTGTCCATGCCCGTAGAAGAGGGTGTGCAACTCGCTTGCACAGGGCCCCTAAAATATGAGGAGCCAAATCAAGTTTTTACTTTTTATTACTAGTAGTATATTCTCATATTCTGTTCAATTTTCTTCTCCCTAGAATCCATACTACTGCATTTATTTAATATTGAAAATTTGAAATCACATTAATTTAGTTATCTTCTCAATAAAAATCCCACTTCCCAAGTTTTCAACTCCATCTTTCTTGCTGTATGCTTGCGATTTTCAGCATTTTGCCTTCAATAATTTGGCTGCTTTTCCAAAAATTTCTTTCATTTCTCATTATACTTTTTCTAATTCCCAAATCTAATCTGCATCAATAAACTCCATTAGTGCTTTTATTGTTTTAATTAACATTTTTACCTATCTATCTCTCAATTACTCAATAAATTTCATTCATATAATCAGAGTAAAGTATGTAGAGACTAAAGTATTATAATTATAGCAAAATACTTCTTAACAAGTGAGCATTAAGGATGAATTGATAGGGGAATTGGGTTATTGCAAAATCATCAAGGGATCAAGTTAAATTAAATTATTTCAGTTAGGTTAATCTTTTTTCCAATACATTGTTTCCAAATTAAATTATTTCTAATTCTATTAAGGGCATGTTTGGATTGGGGGTAATATATTAAGGGGGTAATAAAAGTCAAACTTGAAAAATCAAAAGTAATTAGAGGTGGTGTTGTAGGAGACATGGTGTTTACAAATGAAATAAGATAGTTGTGCCATGAGGAAAAGAGAGAGATGGAGGAATTATTACTCTCATAATGAGGGTAATAGCTATCCACCCTCCCCCTAGTGTAACTATACTCCCAAAATGAGGGTATTGATTCCTCTTTCTTCACCTCATACCATACCAACACTACATAATTTTCCTTACAATTAGGGGTGAGCAGAACGGGGTACTCGATTGAGTTCACAGGACCCCGTTGAAGCGGGTCCAAGAATTTCGGAACCGGTTCCAAGACCGGGTACCCGGATCTTCAATCTTCATCCCACCCACCCCCAAACCACCCGAAACCTAACCGAGCACCCTGAATCTACCCCCGCTCACCCCAAACCACCCGAAACCTAACCGAGCACCCTGAATCTACCCCCGCTCACCCCAAACCACCCGAAACCTAACCGAGCACCCTGAATCTACCCCCGCTCACCCCAACCCACACCACTACCTTCAACCTTCCAAGCAACCCTCACCCCTCCTCCTTCGCTTCCCCCCTGTCGGTGACCCTAACCCTACACTCCAACCCCCACCACGATACCCCAACCAGTCAACCACGGCCTTCTGCACCTTCCACGGAATACATTAAAAAAGAAGATGGGTGGAATACTTAGCGGTGAGGCAGCGATAAAAGATGGGCGAACGACTTGTGGTCCAACCGACAACCATTCATCAAGTAAATCTGAAACAACGATAGATCTGAAACAATTTGTACTTAAAAAAAATAAGAATTGAGAGAAGTAGGACTTACCGGTGTCGAGGATAGGGCGAAGGTGGAGGACGGTGGATGACTGGATGGGTGAAAACGGCGGTTGCCAGTATCAAGAGCAATGAGAGGCACCGATTTTGATGAAGATCAAAGTGGAGGAAGAGGAAAGAGAGGAGAGAGAAAGAGAGAGGCGGTGAATCGGTGATAGTGATTAGTGAATACTAATGAAGGCAAAAAGAGGAAATGGGGGAGAGAGAAAGAGAGAGGATTTTTAACAAAAAAATTGCACATATTAAACAACCGGGTACCCAGTGGGTACCGGGTCCGAATTTCCAGGACCGGAATTGGAACCGGTTTCAACCGGGTCCGGAATTTTGGAACTGGTCTCGGAACCGGTGAGACCGATTTCGGGTCTGGACCCGCTGGGTCCTAACCGGTTCCAGGTCCGGTACTGGGTACCCTGGGTCTTTGCTCACCCCTACTTACAATCATACAATCACTATCTCCTTCTTCCCTATTTTCACATTTATTTTGCTTAGTTTGACTTTTATTACTCTAGTAATACATCTGCCCCAATCCAAGCATGCCGTAATTGTTGAATTGTGAAAAACATACGGAGTATAATACAATATATCTTTTGTCAATTTATAATAAGCATCGCATTCAAAAGGGGTTGCTCCTGTCTATTTGTTCTATGATGAGGTCGTTCGTAATTGTTTACGTTCGTTTAATTGCATTGCTAGGTGGATGCTTTAATTTATAATGTATCGCTTGCTTGTTTTAAAAAATACAAGTAATAAATTAAGCTTGAGTGTGAATGTCTTTTTAGAGTTAAAATTATTGTTGCTCTCAAATATTGTTAAAAAGATAAAGTGTTTTTATTATACGTTTTTAATGTGATAAGTTGTGCATAACATATACGCCATACGAACTACAAAGAACTTAGTAAAATTTTATGGGCCCAAATTTTATGATAACACAGGCCCCCCAAATTGGTTAAGACTACCCTGTACACAGCTCACAATCTTGTATGTAAATTCATCAGTACAAAGTTACTCTGCAGAAGTATTTGGCTGCAACAGTGATCTACGGTGTCCACTTAATACATTACACTCCTCTTTTGCACTCCCCTTTTACCTCTATATCCATCAGCTTTCAACCACCATCTTTATTGCTTCAATCTTCCTTTGTTAGAGGTACATACTTACTCAATTTGTCATTAAATTCTTCTATGTTGTAGTTAGGATTTATACTGCTTTGAAAATTCCTGTCTTTATTTATCTCCTAGTGTGTCATTAGTTTTTTTTTTTTTTTTTTTTTTTTTTGAAAAATTCAATTATAGTATAAAATCTTATACAATTTTATTTATTTATTATTTTTTATTATTTTTTTATATATATATATGTTCATAACAAAGATAATTACTGTAAATAAAACAAGATTGATATACCTTTTCAGTTTCCACACAAACATTTATGACTATAATAAAAAATATTAACATAATTTGCAACATATTTTAAATTACTTCAAGATTTCCCTAATACATCCACCTCCATTTTTGTCCTCTTTCTTCCTCCTCTTAACATCATTTTCAATTTAACTCTCGGTACACCATTGGAGTAGCTCGAGCTTTCTTCTCTCGTTCACTACCATTTTCACCATTGTCTTTTCGACGTCTTTGCCGCCGAATTAAACGAAAACCTTAAGAAAAATGGAGGAAAGAATGGCATGGTTAGCCCCAAAGGGTATGAGTGTTGGTCTTACATTGAAGCCAATTGCAGAGTTTGATTTCTCCATTGAAGACTTTGAAGATCTTCTGATTTTTCTCCATTAAAGCCTCTTTGTTAACACCGTTTTCTTCACTTTTACGTGGCTTGACAAATTTACCCCAACCTTACATAGCAAAATGACCAGCGTGTCATTTGAGTAAGTTCAGTTGTTACTCAAATTGTATTTTCTCATACGAGTACGGAGTATTTTCACTTCTCCAATTTTATTTACTCCCTCCGGTTTTTTTTAATTACAATTTTTGTCATTTTAGTCCGCTCAAAATTAAATGCAACTTTCTATTTTATTTATATTTTGGGTGAACAAAATCCCTGAAAATTACTATTTTACCCTTACTTTTCCAAGTGGTGGGCCAAACTTTCTCTCTCTACACACTTTACTCACCTTTAATTAATCTCACTACTACATGCCCCTTAACTTTTGCCTCGTGAACCGCAAATCACACCAAAGTTGCATTTAAAAAAAATCGGAGGAAGTATTTATTTTTTTTTCAGATTTGTTTTTATAGGAAATAAGATTACCAAATGCCCCAAAATATAGAGTCTCAGAGTTGAGCGCCATTGTTCAACCGTTCAAATTTGCACTTTTCTTCGTCTTTCTTCTTCCCCTCTCTCCTAAAATGGAGAAACGGCTTCGTTCTTCTCTGCAAAATTCTGCAGATACATTTCTAGCATCAGCCATCAAATTCTCTCTAACATCAGCTAGACCTTCTCTCAAAACCCTAATTTTCTCCATTAAACCTTCTTCAGACATCTCTTCTTCTCTCCCTCTTTCTCTCCACTCCTCAATTTCTCACTCAATTGCTTCCTTCAAAATCCCATCTAACCCCAGAACTCCGCCTTCGCCGCCATTGAAAAAACCTCGAAGATCCTCTCGAAATTCAACGACCCAAGTCGAAGAACCCCCCCAACAAAAAACCCATCTTCACAATCTTCAAATCTACGCTTACATTTCCCTAATTTGTACAAAACATCCCCAAAATGCCTTCTCTGCTGACGATTTGTTCCCGGCTGTTCGGGAATTGCACGATAATTTGATCCTTTTCGAGTCTGATAACGGCCTATTATCCGACATTTCTAGCTTGTGTGAGTTATGGTGGAAGGAGGAGCTTGTTGGGAGAGAATTGTTAATCTCTCAATTTGTTCCATTTCTTGTTTCAAGGTCGTTAACTTTAAGGAAAAAGGTTGATATTCATAGGGTTTATGTATTGAGGGAAGCTTTTGTGTTGTTTGACTTTGAGGATGAGAGTATAGAGGACTTGAAATTGTTGCTAATTAGATGTGTGATTACCCCTCTTTACTTAAAAACCGAAGATGGAAGGCGGTTTATCGCCTTTTTGTTTGGTTTAAGTCTTCAGGTTCTGAAGGAGGTGTTGGCAATGATCAAATCCCAAATTCCTTTTGGAAGGAAGTCAATGTTGGAGGCTTATGGGGAGATTTTATTTAAAGGGTGGAAAAGTGTGGAAGGTGATCTTAGGAGAGAAATTGAAGATGGGTTTTTACAGGGTTTGATTGACAGTGCAACATTTGCTAGTTCTGCTTCACTTGCAGCTTCTGTTCGCAGGGTTTTAGGAGGGTTCATCAATCAGAGGACTACTGATGGGGTGGAGAAGATCCTTTTTCGCCTCGCTGAGCCTGTGATTTTCCGGTCATTGCAGGTACTTTGGATGCTATTCCAGTATTTAGTAATGGTTGATCATTAAGATTTTTCCTTTATTCTGAAATAGTAATAATTTATGATTAGTTATTCCCAATTGTCATATCCTTGAATGTTAAGGGGATATAATATTGTGGTTAGACATTTAATTGCTATGAATTGGATGTTTTACTGCTATTGCTTCTGTGGTTTCCTTCAGTTAACAACATAAGTCGTATCATTAGGCTTATGTGGTTAACTGCTATTTAACATATGTTATACTTTTATATAACTAATGCATTTGGTGTCTGAACATCAGTACTATGCTTCTTATTTCTGTCATTTTTGGACATTCCAAATGGTATTGGTAGTACAGGTAACTGGTAATGATCTTTCATACCATGTAGGGGAAGGGTTGTGAATTGGACACTCCAAATGGTATTGGCTCCACTTTATTTCATTAGGTAGGGTATAAATTGGGATTTAAGTTGTTAATCTCTCGAAGACATTAGGCTTATTCTTTGGAGAAAAAATGTAAAAAGTTGTTTGAGCATTTGATCAATCTTGCCTAATTTAAGGGTGAGAAATTCTACGTGATATCCCCTTCTTTTGAAGTTTCCCATCTTGTAGAAAACTTTATTTCAGTATTCACATGGGGTTGACACTCAGCCAACAAATAAAGGGTTTAAAACATCAGTGTCATGTAAAATTTATTTCTAAGAATTGTGTGCTAAAGCATAGTGGTGCAAGGGCATAAGAATGTCTGCATTGCTATTGGCTTTATAGACTGATAACTGAAAACTTTTGCAAATCAATTAAGAATTATGTATGTCTACCATTGCAGGTTGCAAATTCAAATGTTCGGCAGAATGCACTTCATTTACTCTTGGACATGTTTCCTCTTGAAAATCCAGATGCTACAAAAGAGGCCAAGGACACTTTGTTTGAAAAGCAATCTTTCTTGTTAGAAAAATTACTTAAAGATGATTGTCCAGATGTGAGGGTAGTTGCAGTAGAAGGTTGTTGTCGTATTCTTCGTTTGTTTTGGGAAATCATTCCTTCCTCAACTATTACAAAAATGTTAACCATCATTTTTGATGATATGTCGCATGATATATCCAATGAGGTTAGACTCTCCACATTGAATGGCATAATTTATTTGATGGGCAATCCTCAAGCTCATGAACTCCTTAAAGTACTTTTGCCAAGATTGCATAGTTTGATTTTGGATTCAGTTCTGTCGATTCGAATTGCTATGGCTGATCTCCTTCTACTTATTATGGATGTTCGAGGGTTCCAGTTTAATAAGGTAAGAGAAAAGTGCCTTATACACAGCATCAGTATTTTTTTGTGATTGCCACCTACTTTTCTCCTTGCTGGTTGACTAATGCTGTTGTATTTTAATCTTTAGGTGGTCAATTTAGATGTTTTACTGACTACTCTTGCAAATGATCAACCACCTGTTGCTCAAAGGATTGTACGGTTGCTTTTACCGTCGTATTTTCCATCAAAGGTCAATGTAGCAGAAGCATGCACTCGTGTAATCACACTAATTAAAAGGTCTCCTTTGGCTGGTGCAAGATTCTGTGAGTTTCTTGCATCAGAAGGAGCATCTTCAAAGTCTCTCACAGAACTAGTCAGATTTCTCACTGATCTAGTCCTTTCTTCTGATGAACTTGATGAATATCATACTAAGGGAATATTTGTTGCTTTAGGCCACCTTTGTAGAAACCTAGTAAATGATTCATCTCGCAGAGACCCTCTTAAGAAACTATTTTCAGGTGAAATACTGGAGGGTTTGTTGGCTGCTGCAATGCTTGGGAATGCTCAATCCTCGTTTTTTGATATCATTTCTGTTGTCTCTCCTATTGGTGCAAATGGACTACTTGAACAATGCTTAGCTGCAGTCTCAAACTGTTGTGGTTTGTCTGGGAATGAAGAAAAGCAAGCTGAAATACGCTCTGCACATAAACTGGCTATTTCTTGCAAATGGTTTGACCAGATGTTTGAGGTTCTATCAATGCTCCTGCAAGACACTGTTATCCAGTGTAATGAATACTTCAGTATAGAAGTACCCAGGGAGATAACGCAATCTGCAAAGAGGAAGAAAAGCAGACTCACGAGAGAATCGAGAAAAGGGAAATGTGCTAATGGAAAAGGACCATTAGCATTCAAGAACAGCTACCAAATTTCAGTAGGAATAGCATGGCAAATAAAAGATCTCTTAGCTTCAGAGATCAGCCGAAAAGCTATATTCAAATCCAAGCACTTAAAATTGGTGATTGTTTCCTTAAAGGTCATATCAGAAATAAGCATTGGGCACAGTATGTGTTGTGAATTTATGGATGCATTGTTGATTGATGCATATATGGCTCTTTCTCTGCACATGACCCTTCAACATATTAGTGTCAATGGCGTTGATGATCATAATGACAGGGAGAATAATACGCAAGGTTCTGGATTGGAAGAGGAGGTAAGTAATTATAAATCTTAATGCTTATAGGTTTTTCAAATAATTAAGCTGATAGATTTACTTTTATTGGATATGTTTTACTTGTATTTTTTTCTGCATATTAACCTTTGTGAAGGTATATGATTGATACCTTAGATACTAGTAGGGAAAAGTTTACAAGCTTGCCTTTTTATTTATTAATTTATTTTTTAAAGTTTTTTATTTTTTTGGAAGAGGTCATTGTTCTTGAACATTCTTGTGATCCTTGATATTAGGTCACAAGTTTATAGTAGTCTGAGGTTGTGCTAGAAGCTCTTTACAGTGATATCAGTGTAGCTGCAATAATATAATGTAATTGATGATTGTTTGGCAATATCCTTTTATTCCTTCTCAGCAAACACTAGTGGACAAGACATTGGATCATCTTCTCATCTGTACAGAGAAAGTACTTAGATCTGGGGGTTTGGCAAAAATTGGATCAATGTTGTCAGGATGTAAGTTATGTAACAACATGGCTGTTCAGCTTCGCAGGCAAAAGCAAGAAGACTCCGATGTAGATGATGATGGTAAGCAACATGCTCTCTTTTCCCATATTAGTGAGAATAGTGAATATAACCAACAAGGTAAAAAAGGATAAAAGTTGTGTAATCTGTTGAACTTAGAATGACATTTTAAGTACGAGGGTTTATGAACCATTCAACTTTCTATATTATTGCTGTCTATATCCTTTTGGTTTAGAATGACTAGCTCCTGTTAATCTGGCATTCAGTATGAGATTGGTTTTAGTGACATAATCAAGGAGTTTTTTGTGTCTTGATTTTGTTTACATTTATAGTGCTTCTCATGAGTATATTTCCAAACTTGCTAGACTGTAAACAGATAGGAAACAGAGTTCTGGAAACTGTGTCCCATCCCGGATTTTGTTTAATTTTCTGTTGACCGAGCTTAACTTGGATGTGTAGTACAAACTTTTTTGGTGCTAAGTCTACATATTTCACTATCTTGGGAAGTGGTTGCAATGACTGTCCATGTTTCTTTCGTAAATCTGGTAAATCATTTTGAAATTTCTTATTAGATTTCTAGTAATCACCCTGTTACAACTGGAAGGATCATGATATTCCCAGTCATTGATTAGCTCAGAGTTTATTTTAATCATTTCTATCGAACTGCTTGTTCTTGTAGGAGCTGCCTTTTCTTATCGTCGAAAATTGTTGAATTCGGTGAAAATTTGCACCGCAGTTCTGAAGTTCATAGTCGATGTTGCAGCAATGGACCTTATCTTTCATAACAAACACAGGGTTTTGGGTTTTACATCTGGCTATATGCAGAATATGATATCCATCTTAAAACGATGCTTTCATGGCGAATTGAAGTTTCGGGAGGAACAATCGAAAGAACTTCATTTGTGCTTGAAGAGTTCTTTCACTTATGCCGCGAAGTTGCTCAATGTAGTTCTTGCAAGCACCACTGAAGATTCTCCTGCTCCCCAAGAAGTCTTTGAAGTTGCAAATAATCTGCTTGATCTAATAGCCTCCATTGAGTTATATTGTGGACCTGGTTATGCAGCACGCGTGGTAAGTTTAGCAAAACAATGGCTGCCCGATGTGATTTTAAGTTTGGGATCTAGGAACATGCATAAACATTCAATGGAAGAGAATGTCTCTCTTCACTTGTCTAGTGATGGTGAAATGCATATTCATCCGTGGCTCTCAATTTTAGCGAGTATTGAGCTTTATGAAACTAAGTGCTCTGAATCAGGCGATGAGGAAGATGATAAAGACGTGGTAAATGAAAAGTTCCCAGCTTTTAGCAAGCTAATTGGAATGATGGTTCGACTAATTCGGATGAATCACAAAGTTTTAGACGTTGTGGGACTAATTTTTCTAATTGGCTCTACAACATATTTGTTAAGGAAGGAATTTCCGTCTGCCTTGGGACTTGTACGCTTTGTTTGCACGAAACTGTTGAGGCCGGAAGACATACAGTTGGCAAAGCTCATTATGATACTTAGTTATCTGAAACAGCTATACCCACAAGTTGAAGGCTGTATTGAGGGTGCAGAGAACAGTGAAGGGTTACAAGAACTTCTTGGTATCAAAGCATTGCTTGATCCTGTCTGGGATTATTCATGTGAAACCTGATGTATATCGTGATAAAATATTGGATTTTTCTTATGCACTCTGAATAGTTCAGTTCTGTAAATAAAAAACCTAAATTCGACTAAATGCAATGTAATACTAGAAGTTTCCCATGTGGGCGCGACATGTAAAAATAAACTTGCATTATCAAATTTTTTGTTATCTCTTTCCAATTACTAAGTTTCTTAACGCAGCAAAAACATGGGTGATATTATGATAAGATGCTAGCAAGTGTTTCAATTATTGTGTGTTTTTACTTCTGTTTTCAGAGAGGGTGACTTTTGTGATGGAGTGTAACGATAACATCAAAATTCTAAGCGTGCGATATTTTGTATCTAAAGAGAAACATTACCCTGAGAATTCTGGAATTTCACAAAGATGGTGATAAGCATTACAGTTTGACTGAATGAAATCAAGATCCTAGTTACAGAGAAATCATGTTGATTTACAAGTAGTCAACTTAAAAGGAATCTAAATAACAAACTACTTCCTAAACCCTGGCATACAAATGCGCCTTGGTCGTAAAACATTAGAAAATTTAAGAAAACAAAGTGATCTCCTGCTCTGCTGCTCATGATACTGATATTAGAACATTTACTTTAAATTCTTCCAATCAAACGCGTCTGCAGGTCATGAAGTTAGCAGCGGGTAGGTAACAAAAGATGTTAGACAGTTAGTGCTTAATGCAAATAATGCTTCTGGACTTGATCCATACATAGTGTGCTTGTTTGATACAGGAGTCTTAAACTGGTATTTTCTTCAAGCCGGCTGCAACTGGCATGCCCAAGAATCCAATGAAGATACTAAGGAACCACTGCATGAAACTGAGGGGAGTGGTGTTGGCAAATGTACCAAGATATTCGATGATTATAATTTGGAAGAAGAGGGTTATACTGATGACGGCAACAAAAACATAATTGTCTAATATGCCCTTAAATACATCTATCTCCTCCATGTCTCTTGAGCTTATTTCATTGAATATCTGCATGAAGAAAAATGCATTATAAGCCTCTCAGATTAGTTTTACTGTCAAATTTCGCATAATTGTGCAAAATAATAAAGATATTTCTCTATCAACTAATTCATTAAATAGAGCTTCTTGAAGCATATAGAAACTGTAAATACCTGACAGAACACAAAGGAATTGAAGATTAGAGTATTCAAGCTCAAATCACCCTCTGGACCTTGAAGACCAAACAAAGCTTTTCCATTTGCTTGCAGAAACCAAATCACCATGAATTGGTAGAAGGATTGGCCTAATATATTCCTCCACATGACATTGCTGATGAAATTCCCTTGCCTCCCAACTGGTGTTCGCTTCATTAAGTCGTCGTTAGGAGGCTCAGTGGCCAATGCAAGAGCTCCCAGGGTATCCATGATCATGTTGACCCATAAAAGCTGAACAGCAGTAAGCGGAGCACTCCCTGAAATAGCCAGATCAGAGTGTCAAACATCTAGGAAATTGACACAGTACAATTACCTTGAATAGGAAAGATTGGTTTAGATAAACCAAACTATTGATCAACCTTTTGGATTAACCTGCCTTTAAAAAACTCATAATTTAAAAAAACTCATAATGATATTACATATGACCAAAAGATTGAATTATTCATATTATTTTTTCAATAAATATAGAAGGATTCTTACCAGTCCAACAGGCTGAAAAGAAGTTAACAAGCAAGGCAACGATATTAACAGTCAGCTGGAACTGCACAAACTTTTGAATGTTTATGTAAACTGAACGTCCCCACTTAGCAACAGTAACAATTGTAGAGAAATTGTCATCTAGAATGATAACATCAGCACTTTCTTTAGCCACCTGAAAATTTAGAGACAGATTAATGTCACTGCAAGTAAGCAAAATGATCTGGAATCTATATGACACCAAAATTATACTAATATGTCTATATAGTATATACCTCAGTACCAGCAATGCCCATTGCAAGTCCAATATCAGCTTCATGTAGAGCAGGGGCATCGTTTGTCCCATCTCCTGTGACTGCCACGACTTCATTAAATGTTGTTCTCAAGTGCTTCACAAGTGTGTGTTTATCTAGGGGAGAAGATCTTGCCATCACCTGCAAAAAGAAGGTTTTGATGAAATTAAAACCTGTTCTCTTCAGCCGTAAAAATAAACCTTGTGCTTAGTATAAATCACATTAATTTAAAGTAAAAATCAATTTTAGTCATAAAAAACCAGTTTAAATCTATTAAAATTGGTTAGTGGACCAACCTGAATTTTAGGAACGATTTTCTCTAATTCTTCTAGGCTCTTCTCTCGGAAAACCGGACCTTCTATGGCAATACCATCATCAGTAAGGATACCACATTCCCTTGCAATAGCTTTGGCTGTATTTATGTTGTCTCCCGTAACCATCCTAACAGTTATCCCTGCTGCACGACACATTGCAACAGACTCCTTGACTCCAGGTCGAACAGGATCTTTAATACCCACAATCCCTATACAAGTGTACCCTTCAGTGGGCATAGGGTCATTTGGAGTGAATCCTGCATTCTCCATATCCATGTAGACAAGACACAAGGTTCGAAGAGATTCATTTGCAAACTGATCAATTGTAACCGTAAGATGCTCCAAAGTTTCTGCATCTAGGGGAACAATCTCTCCATTTGCATTAATCACTTTATCACAGGTAGCTAAAACTATCTCCGAAGCACCTTTGCTGTGGGCTCTTAAACCTCCTCCATTAGGAAGATCTAGTACTACACCCATCCTCTTCTTTGTAGAGTTAAATGGTTCAACTTTGATAAGCTTAGATGCTTGCCTCTCAGCATGAAAATCACCACCAAGTGACAAGGCAAATTCCAAGAGAGCGGTTTCTGTGGGGGTTCCCAATATTTCATGCTTCCCATTTTTATTGGCAACTACCTCTCCTCCCGTGTTATTGAATATGGATTGAAGCAAAAGCTTCAAGGTAGAATCAGGCAACTCAGTGCGCAAGCTAGATTCATTGGTAATTTCCTTAACATTCAAGCCAATGCAAGATTTTACCACAGTCATGTGATTGGTAGTTAGGGTCCCGGTTTTATCACTACAGATAGTAGTAGATGATCCCATGGTCTCACAAGCAGCCAAGTTGCGGACTAAGGCCTTATCATTCATCATCTGCTTCATGGCAAACGCAAGACTCAAAGTCACAGCCAAAGGCAACCCCTCAGGAACAGCCACCACAACAATGGTAACTGCAATTGCAAAGTACTCTAGCAACTCCAGTGCTTCATCCCCAGCCCAATACCAATGAGTCCCTTCTCTCCATTTGCGAGCTACTAGACCATTTACAAGTACTGCAAAAGTCACCACAGCAAAGAAAAGTCCAATTTTACCAATAATGGTGGCAACCCCATTGAGTTTGACCTGTAATGGGGTCTCATCATCTCCCCCTTCACTAAGAGTTGCCATCAACTTGCCCCATTGAGTCCTCATCCCAACAGTTGTAATAATCATCTTGCATGATCCATCTTGGACTTTGGTCCCCGAGAGAAGAAAAGGGTTTTCATCACTGACCATAACAGGTTCGCTCTCTCCGGTTAAGCTTGATTCATCAATCAACACTGAGAATCCTGAGACAAATAGCCCATCAGCAGGGACTTGATCCCCTATAGAAAGATGCACAATATCACCAGGAAGTAGGTCATATATAGACATTTTCTGCCTATCACCGTTCCTAGTAACTTGAATAGCAATCTTCTTCTTTTCTTTGTCAAGATCCCTGAACTGTAAGGACTGACGATAATCACTAGTTGCAGTTACAAACACAACTAATAAGATGGAAGCTACAATGCCGAGCCCATCATGAGCCCCCACAGGCCACCCCTCTGTAGCCACACCAACTATCAGAGAGACGAAAGCACAAACTCCAAGAATCATCAATGTCATATCCTGAAGGGCTTCCCAAACAAACACCCAGAAACTCCGAAGTTGAGGCTCAGCAAACTTGTTGATCCCAAATAAGTCCTGCCTACAAGCAAGTGTAGCTGGATCGGTGGTAAGCCCATTTTCAGTTGATGTGCAGAGCTTTTCTGCAATTCCCATTACTCCTCCATGGGCTTTTACCTTCTTTAGATCATGGCCTTCGGCAATGCAACTCAACTCATCAGCACATATTCCATAACCTGCTGCTTTCACTTCCTCAGGGACTGCATAATCACTCGGTGCCACACCTACACTCACGAAATGTGTCAACAAATTTAACACTCAATTCAAGCCCCTTGATTGGAAGACGAATATAGACAATTATTTAGTAGCACTTACCCTGTATAAACTGGAATGCAGCCTTTGAAACCAGAACAGCAATCCTCAACTTCTCCTGTAACACCAAAAATGAAAAGCTAAAGTCAGTTGAATTCTACCAATAAATAGCATATTGATAGTTGACATTCAAATTAGAGGTGACAACCTTGACTAAGGCAAACCAACCCAAAATCAACAAGAAATTACATAGAGAAACTCAAACTCGTACTTGACATAAATTCGAACACAAATCAACCCAAATTTATTTGTTGTCATCTTGCATTTCATTAAATTATTGAAAATTGAAAACTATTTCAAATTAATGTGAAATCAAACACAAACATGACTTGTTTCTCCAAATTGTCAGCTCTACCATCAAAATTCTTAAATTCATCAAAACAATACAGTGGATTTATGTACATTAATATTTGTCACGCATACCTTTATGGTAACGCAACAAAAAAATAATGCGGAGTAACAATTAAAATGCTTTGGTGCTTCCAAGCATATAAAACTGTGAAACTGTTGTCATCTTGATTATGTAACAACAAAGTCTCAAAATCAACCAAAATTGAAAATGTGGAACACACGATAAATAATTGTATTAGTTTAGCTAAATTTCTTTCTATAACAAATGACATTGCATCCAAAATGTGTTCTCCCTGTTCTAGTTCATACAAACAGTACATAATTTTAACCTCTTCTACAATTTACCTATACGGAAATAAAATCAAGCACTATAATATAGTTAAATAAATTTTGTTAGATTTGTCTCGTAACATATGTTCATGCTTACAATAATGCATTATAAGCGTGAAAGTTCAAATGATTCAATTCGAAAAAAGAAAATCAAATAGTTCGTACAAGTTTGACAAATTTACATATTGACCCACCAAAAAAACAAAAATGATGAAGAGAGAAACCTGATTGGTACGACGCATAGCAGCCGCCTCGTAACGTTTGGAAAGGTTGGCAGTGAAACGAAAACGACGCTTTGGATTTTTGACGACGCCACACAAATTCCTCCATCTTTCCAACACTTCATCTGATGTTCCTTTTGGTTTCACCTCGAAGTTTTGACTCAAATAACTCTCCATTTTTTCGCTCTCCTCTCTTTTCTCTCTCTAACTATAACTATGATCTTACCTTATATACTTGGTTATTTTAAAGCTTTTAACCCAGAATAAATAAATAAAAACTCAGCTTCTCTCCATTATTTATACGGACTACTTCATGTAAATTTGACCCATGAAACCAATGAGAAAGTGTTTCAATATTATATGAAGGGTTGAGAGAAATTTCTACGAGGAAACTGATTTTTTTTTTAAACAAAAAGAGAATAATTTGTGTGTTTTGTTTTTTTACCAGAATTCGAAAAAGGTAAAACGAGTAGTCAGAAAGGGAAAATAATGGGGTTAGGTTTTATTCTATTTTATGAAACATCAAAGAAAAAGAGGTGAAAAACAAAGATAGTAGCAAAATTATAGCATTAGCATTAATTGAAGAGAAAATGAGAAACAAATGCCATTTTTGTTTTTTTGGGCTGCTTTTTTGAGGTGAGGGTGAGGGTGAGGTGATCCGAAATTTGGTGGGAAATTTGTAGTCTAAAAAAGAATTTTCCCCGTAAATTAGAACGAATTGCTCGGAGACTTCATTCAGATTGTTTATATAATCCACAAGACTAGACTACCACTCTTTTTGGTGCCACATAATTTCATGGGGTATCATTAACCCGTGTCAACTTGGCCCTATTGTCATTTTCATTGTCTTTCATCTACGACCTCTAGCTAGTAGCTCCACATTACTATCAATACTTTTCTCGCTTTTTTTATATGAGAATCGGATACTTTTAAGATAACAATAATCTCGTTTTCGGAGATATTATTCCTCTCGTTAAATGTTCAGGTAAAAGATATAATTGATTGTTTGATATTCAAGAACGTATGTCATCATTGTGTGTTGATTCTTACGTATATAATCAATTTTATTTTCTTAAAATTAATAAGTTCATTAACACTTTGATTCTCTAAACAACAAGAATAATTAGAGATTTAATTCTAAATATGGAGACGACGTGAACCAAGGTTTTATCTTCCTAAGATTATATAAAAATATAGACCAATATTTTACATACAATTTGAATACACTATGTCGCGATCATTTTAGTTTATCAATATTGTATCCACAATATTCCACATCCATATCAATTTCTAAATATAGGTATATCACATTATAATTACTGCATTGCTCTATCTAATGTTCTGTTTTTGAACTACATCAACGTGATCGTGTTCTATGTTCATTCAACCATCCAAAATATCTCCTTATTGACAAAGTAAAACATAGTAATTTCTACTCCCAAAATATTCGTCAAAATTTTAAAGTAAGATAAGTAGTGTAGTACAATTAGTCCACTCTAATTGAAAAAATTAATCAAAAAGATAAAATAAATTAAGCATAAACAATGGTTAATAGAAGTCATGGATCGTGTACAATACGCGTAACGAACTAAACAGTCATGGAAACTACTAATTATACACGGCTCGAACATGTCTTCAAATATAATATGAATGTGGGAGAATTGTCTTGGACCACCCTTGTCATAACCCAGAAAAATAACTAAGAAAAAATATAGTTATGGACCCCCTCTAAATCCCACGCAATATTTGTCAAGGCTAATTATATTTATAACAAATAATTAATTAAAGGGCTTAAATATTTGTAACAAAAAACTAGTTATTAATTAAATGGCAATCACATGCCATGGCAGTATGATACGGTGATTCCATTATTGCGCAGTGTTAAAGACAAACTCAACTGTATGCCAAGATTGATAACCTTATTTAAATTTTAAAATAACATTATTTTGTGAAGATCCGATCTCTTTTGAGAAAATAATCTGAAAAAAAAAAAAAAAAAAAAGGGATCGGGTGTTTTTGCAAATAATTATTACTCATTTGTTCTTTTTTTTTTTTTTGAATGGATTACTCATTTGCAAATAATTCACCATCTAACCCTGAGTTATTTCAAAAATTCACCATATACCCCTAATGACAACAACATGAGTGAAATTTGGTTTATTATTCATCGAAACCACCTTAGATCTCTCCCCCAATCCCCGAAACCACTCCGCTCCTTTCTCCAACCCCCGAAACCATTTCAAATCTCCATAATCATATCCGTATGATTGATTTTGAGGATGAAAATAGGAAATTTCGGTGGTTTTGGGAGTGGGAAAAAGGAATATAGGTGGTTTTGAGGGTAGGGGAATGTATTTAAAGTGGTTTCAAGTCATTATTAACCCCAATGACTAACGAAATTAATAATCATTAGTCATAAGGGTGTACGGTGTATTTTTATGAAAACTCGGGGGTATATGATGAATTTAAAAAAATTTATGGGTATATAGTGAATAAACAAAAAACTCAGGGATATTTGGTGAAAAAACTGTATTTATATATAGTTACATCTAGCTCACCCTTTATTCCCCAAGCTCTCATTCCCGCATATCATAATTCATACACCTTTAATTTATATGTTAATGACTTAATAGGTTGGAAAATCTCAAGAATAGTTGATGGGAAATACCGTGCCTCCCAAACAACATCCCAAAGTTGCAAGAAGTGTAAATTAATCATTTAGATTTAGTGCTCCATAACATAACCTTCCGTGTTTTTTTTTTTTTTTGACATCATCATAACTTAAATAAATTACAAGTTAAAAGTAAAGCTGTTTCGGGGTTTTTTGATGTCCTGCAGGAGAGTTACAATTCTGAGACTGGAACCGGACGCCTGTACCTGCAAAACAAACGGATGCTCCGGATGATTGGAGATCCGCCTCCAACGGTCAAGTTAGTACTTGATTAAGGAGTAATTAATGCAGAAATAATGTAATTTGGTCTCTCTAGGTGAGAGTGTTTAATGTGCGTAATCCCCTTTAATGAGGACTAATGAAGGTATTTATAACCTTGGGAAGCGTGCCACTCTCTAGGTTTAGGTTAAACCTAGGGCTGACTGGGCCTCCAACAAGGATTGGGCCTTGTTGGCTCATTTCCCATGTGTCATGGGAAGGACACGCGTCGCGGCTGGTCCATGGTGGACGAATATATGGTTGACACGTGGAAGACTCCCATTGGCCCACGTGAAGGACACGTGGCGGAACCTGGTTGGTCCACGTGTCAGATGGTGATTGGTGGATAAAAATCCCCTAATCATTTGCCCCTCACAGGTGGCACATGACTGGTCACGTGTTACCTGTGACAGGTGTCGCACCGTAACAGGCGACGGCCTGCTACAGGTGTCACTCGGTGAAAGGCCGAGAGATTTTCCCGCCCAAATTTTGAATTTGGGAGTGACCCTTCGCCTTCTCATTTTCGCCTATATAAGGGTGTGTTGACTTCAGTCATTTTCACACTTGAGAACTTTTGAAGAGAACATTCGGACCCCTGAACTTGCTCTGACATTCCGGACTCTTTCTGCCTACCGCCTGCTCTGACAAGCCGGCTACTCAGAATTTTCAGAACTTCGTCAACTTCACTTGTTCAGGTAACCGTCGGTTCTCTCACTCTTTTATCTTTTCTTTATTTTTTTCCTTTTTGAAATGGCACCACGGAAGCACACGACACGACGTAGGTTAGTGATCAGCCGGTCACCGGGGACGGCTGAATCTAGGATTAGGAGTGCCGCCTGCCCTTTTCGGAACCAATCTTTGCCCTTTATACAAAGTCAGACTGTCTCTGTGTCTATGCAGAACTTAATGGCCAGAACAAAAAGAACTGCTAGGATTACAAACTCAGACGGCTCCTCCTACCAGGTGCCGATTAGTGAGACATCTGACCAGGTGCCAGATGTTGAAGTAAACCAAGGCGGCTTGACCGCCGACAGCTCTGAGGGAGGGGTCAAGGTGGTCCCTTCCCATTTTACAGTTGACATGTCTACATTTTCTCCCGCTCCTATCGAAGGAGAGGAGGCGGGCCCCTCTGGGAGAGGAGAGGAGTCTTCCTCTTCGGATTCGTCAGAGGACGAGTCCGAGTCTAGTTCTTCTGGTCATACTTCTCTAGACACAGAAGAGAAAAACAATCGCCTACAAGAGGCGAGGCTTTCTCACGCAGTTGAGAAGGGGGACAATTGGGCGGAGCCGTCCGCCTCTTACAGAGAGCAAAATACCCCTTACTACTGCACTGTCCCAAAAGGCCGGATCAAGGCCATGCAAGAGAAAATGGGGAGCTTTATTGCGAACCACACAATGGGCCCCAGCTTTTTAGTTTCTGTGCCGGATCCAGAGGACACAGTCGTCTGGCCGGCTGGTACCAACTACGATAGCGCCTGCTTCGGCTGCTACGAGGCGTCCATCAGAGCTGGGCTGCGCTTCCCACTACATCCGGCTGTTCAGCGGATCTTGGATGGGTATGAGTTGGGGTTATGGCAGTTAGCCCCAAACTCTTGGTTCAACGTTCTCGGCTATGTGGCCGGGTGCGAACTGCACGGGGTGGAGCCAAACTTCGAGGCTTTCGCCCACATGAACTACCTCAGCCGGACCCCTAAGGCAGGCGGTACCAGCTGGTATCAATTGACAAGCCACAGAGGCTACCTCATGACAAGAGGTAAAGAAAACAAGTGGAAGGATTGGCGAAGCACCTTCCTTATCATTGAGAGTTCAGACACGGAGCTGAACCAACGCTTCAACAGATGGAACAGGGATCCGCCTCTTCTTGCAGGCGGTCGCAGCATGTCGCCTGTTCCCCCCAAAGCCAAGAAAGAGATCCTGGATAAAGGACTCTTTAAAGTAGAGTCGAGGGTCGACTCTACTACAGGGGTGCGAGATCTAGTACCCCTTAACTGCGTCCCGAGCTTCAAATGGCTCTATGACGAGTACTTTTTGGCCGCCTGTGGCCTCAGCAGTCGGTGCTCAAGAGGTAGTCGGCATGTCGAATACTCTGTTTTGCCATGCATTACTGTTAGGGCTGGCAAAAGCTGACCCGACCCGACAACCCGACCCGAACCCAACCCGAAATAAATGGGTTTTGATAGAGATTTTCAACCCGTTTATGTAATTGGGTCAACCCGAACCCGACATGAAGTTAAATGGGTCGGGTTCAGGTTGAAAATCCCAACCCGAAACCAACCCGCATAAACCCGTTTATTTAATTGGGTCGGTTTCTGGTCGGGTCAACCCGAACCCAACCCGCTTAACTTAAAACCCTAATTTTAAAATATGGGCCAAGCCCAAATTATCTAACCCTAATTCCCTAAAGACCTAAAGTCCTAAACGGCTAAAACAATCCCCTTTCTCTCGCCGCTTTCTTTCACTCAAACTCTCTCTCTTCTTAGTTTCTCTCTCTTCTCTCCTCTCTTTTCTCTCTCTAACTCTTGAAGATTGAAATAAAAATGCCTGAACCTTGAAGATTGAAGCTTCATCTCAAACATTCTGAAGGTAATAATCCTATTATTCGATTTTTTATGAGTTTGTTTGCTCATGAGTCATTTGTTTATGCAATTTCCTTAATTTGGTTATGCAATTTTCAGATTTCTTTGATTTTTTAATGCGATTTTTTGCTATTATGGTTTATGTATGCTTTTTTTATGTGATTTAATCATTTAATGTTGTTCGTTTGTTATTTTCTTACTCTGCAATTTCTTTCGAACATTTGATTTGTTATTTACTTATTTTGCGATTATTTGCGATTTGTTTGTGCGATTTTTTTCCCTGATTTGATTTTCTTACT